GGGGGGCATCTGTGGGGACATGGAGCTAATGTCCTCCTGAGTGAAGGCCTCCAGAAGGGGACCCATCCAGGCCTTTGGCAGCTGTTTGGGAAAGGGGAATGAGGAAGGGGGACAGAATGTCCTAGGGATCACTTCTGCTTGATTCTCTACCTCCAGGCTCCAGATGAACCCAGGTGGCTTCTTTTCTCCACATCAGAAGAGAAAGGTCCTACCTCCAGGTCAGGGAACAAAGATGCAGGAGAGAGGCCATCCTTGGGGACAGATGTCAGACCTCAGGGGAAGGGGGCTCAGGAGCTGTGGCCTTTATTGAACACTCATTGCTTGCCAGGCACTGGAAGAACTGAGACACAGAGAGCTTCAGTAACTTGTTCTCCATCACACAGTAAAAGGTTCTAAGCCAGACAGCCCGGCTCCCCGGCTCCCGGCTCCTGCGCTTAGCCATCAGGTCAGAGGGCTGAGCAGGTGTATGTCACGGCGTCTGCCCGGCCTTCGCTCCCATCCTCCCTCCACACCCTCCAGTCCCTGCGTCCTGGAGCTCTGGGAGCTGTGCTCTGGGCCTGCAGGGTCTTGCTGCCCAGGGTACCCCCAGGTTTGGGGGAGGGAGGAGCCTAGCAAGATCCCCACACCATGCAGGACCTCACAATGTACAGAGCCCCCGGCCCCCCTCAGCCTGGTCAGGGGCGGGGTGGGGGAATCTTGAACGCCACTGCTTGACAGGATAACAGGCCTAGAAAGGTGCTCAGGGTAGGTAGAGACTGAAGCAGAACCATGAGGACCCCCTCCATGGGAGGGCCCCAGACCTGGATGGCCTTGCCCCCCTGGGTCTCCCCTGCTGATGTTGTCAATCTAGCTCTGCCGCTCCAGGAATCCAGTTCGATTGCTGGGTGGATGCAGCCTTCCAAATGCCCAGGAATTTCCTGTCCGAGGCTCCTGATCCATCTGCCTGACCCTCGGCCCTTCCCGAGGCGCTGTGCTCAGGCCACTAGCAGTGCAGGTAGAGGTGTCCTTGCATGTCTTCAGGAAGGACAAAGTTGTCTGGCTCTTCTACCCAGGCAAGAAACCCAGCACGGGCACGAGTGCCCCTTTTCTGGCAGCCCACACAATTTCCTTCTTTCGGATTCTTATTTTTTAATCTCAGCTGGGCCCACAGCACCCTGACTCAGGCAAGTTTCCACCCCCTGGGATGAGAGGGCCTCTAGGGAGCACTTCGGATCACCCTTTGGCTTGTGGGAGGGGCTATTGCTCTTCCTGAGGTAGAGGGTCCTCTGTCAGGCCTGCTTGGGGAACTGGGACCTGCCCAAGGACACAGCCTGGCCCACGAAACTTCCCCCACATCCCTCCTGCCCCACACCCAGGGGACCACCACAGGGACACCAAGGGTAGGTTCTGTTTCTTGCTGGGCCTTATTTTCCTCATCTGTCCAACGGGGCTAATGGTCCCTGACTGACCTTCCACCTCAAGTTGCTGTAAAAGTCAGACAACATGAGTATGAATGTTCTTACTCTGGCCCAGCACCTCCTCACAGAGGGGCTGTGGGGGGGGCCGTGTGTATGTATGTGCGTGTGTGTGCACGCACACAGGTATGCACACGTAACAGCTGCGACTCCTGGGTGTTGTCTGGGGATTGAAGTCTGGAGAGGACTGACGTGCCAGCGGGCAGAGCTCCGAGGATTTGTGCTGTGGGTGACAGGTTGCCAGATGTAGCCAGTATCGAGAGCATAGTTATACGAAAAAGGATTCTTTGCCAACCTGGAAATCAAATTTCACTCGGTGTCCTGTGTTTTATCTGGCAACACTCCTTGGGTGCTCTGGGTGACCTGGTGTGCCCAAGCCCATGTAGCCGGGTGCGGCTGGCCATGCAGGAGACTGAGGGGGCATGTAGCTGTGTGGGACTGTGACAGGACACCAGTGTAAAGGTCTGTGGCTATGACAGTGTCACCAAGAGAGGACAGGATGTGGGTAACTGTGGGCTCTCTGGGACTCCCTCAGGCTCTAGCTGCCCCCTCAGGGCAGGGTTTGGGCTGTTTGCTCACTGAGGCCCAGCAAGGTAGGGACCCACCCTGGGCAAACACTTAGATCCGGCTCCACATGGGACTGGGTTGCAGAGCTATGGCCACCTGCCATCAGACTGTAAAGGGCACATGTCTCTCAAGGCCAAGCCAGCCCTGGGGGCCTCAGAGTGCTCTGTCCTGGGCCCTTCCAGAGGGGCCTCTGGAACTACCTCTCAACTCTGCTGTTTCCTGGTGACATCACACAGGTCACTGCTTAATCTTCTAGAACAGTGCCCCCAGGACATTGCCTCGTTGCCGTAGGCAACCTGGGAATTTCTCCACCCAAACTGGCAGGCCGGGTTACCACTGAGGAGGGGGTGGGGGGAGAAGGGGCCAGGGGGGCCCTTCTCCTAATCTCCCAGAGGGGAGATCGGGGCAGCCATCCGTCTGTCTGACTAGATGGTGAGTAGGAGGGAACACCCAGGAGCAAGTCAAGACTTGGTGGCCCTCATTGTCCAGGACACTGGGGAGGGTGGGTGCTCTGGGCAGAGGCCGAATCTTAAGACAGAAGAATGGCTGGTGACTGTACCCACATCCCCAGCCCCAGGGGAGTGAAAGGGGTGGCATATAATGGGGAGCAGGGTTGGAGCCTTGGGTTAGGAGCTGGGAGACCTAGGTTCTTACCTCTATTTTGTTCGTGCTAGCTGGGCCTTTGTTTCCCCATCTGTACAGTGCAGGTAGCATTAGTCTGAGGATCTCCAGTTCTGCTCTCTCTGTGAGGGGCATGTGGAAGGCCCAGCACTTGCCCAGTGCTCTAGGTAATGACTCCTCACATACCCATAATGTCTCTCAGTTTGCTAAGCACCTTCTCCTTCTCATATAAGCTCCTGCCTTCCACACCCACTCTGATTCCGACTCTGTGATGCCCTGTTCTGGGGCTTGGGACTCAGACAGGAGCCAGACCTGGGCCGTGCCTTGGGGGCCCAAAGAAATACCTGGATCTACCTCCGGTGGAAGGGCCCTATGATTGGGGTAGGGGGCTGCAAGGGGCATACCTTGCCAACATTTCCACTGTTTAATCTTTCATGAGAATCTTAACCACCATCGTAATGAGTGGTTACCTTAACACTTTTGGTTGGAGACATCATTTTTGGACGGTATATTCTCTCTACCTCCCCTCCCAGTTATATTTCTGACTATTTGGGGGTGAAACTGCCACACGTACAACTCTTTTCATTGCAATAATTCTCAGAGAGTAGGTATTTTTATTTTAGAAGAAGAAACAGGCTTAGAGGGGACTTGTCACCTGCCCTCGGTCACACAGTTAGGAAATGGTGTAGCTTGGATTTGAACTCAGGTCCACAGGCCCTTTGCACTGCCAGGCTATGGGAAGCAGGGGTGGCCAAGTTCTAGAACTCCTCTCCAGACTCCTCTCCAAGGTCCTTGTCCCAACCTGCCTGGGCTCACTCTTCTGTCCTTGAGCAGACAGGGTCCTTCTCTCTTGCTCAGGGGTGTTTGGCGGTCATGTTTCAGAGGTTGTGATAAACTCCTGAGCTAGAGATACCTAAATTTGGGGGGACATGGGGAGCTTGCAAGGACAAATGAATGATGAATAGAATGGGGAGTGATTCTGCCCATCCACTGGCTAGCTAGCTTGGCCTGAACCTGGAACCCAGGGTTGAGCCCAAGTCATGGCCATCAAAGCAGGGGTACCAGGCCACTTACTTCTTCTGACCCAAGACCAGGAAGATTCATTCTTGGTTAATCGATGGTTTCTGCCATCTGTACCTCCCCGAGTTTATGGTCTCTCTCAGATTGGCAGCTCTCCATCAGTCTGCCCCTTACTGCTGTCACCCCACCTTACCTCTTTTACCCCAGACTGGGTGATGGGCATGAAAGGTTTACTGCTCTGGTACTTGCTGTCTGCTGAGATGTTGCTGGCGCCCTAAGAATGCAGGACCCACCAGGCCACTGTTCCCATCTCTTTTCCTTAGATCCCAGAGGCGACAGCTCACAAAGTAGTCTCTGTGGATTCCTTTTTTGAGTCTCCCAGCCTCTTGACTGTGAGGCTGTCAGATAAAACCACTAAGGCCAGGGGAGGGACAGTGACCTGTCTAGAGTTGGGGTAGATAGAGTAGAGAGGAGGTACATAGCAGAGAACCATAGGCTTGGTTTCCTGAGCTTTGAGCCATCCCCCCTGCTGCCCACTCCCACATATTTAAAGAATTTGGGTTAGAAAGGGTGGGGTGATTATCTGACTATGCCCCCCACATACTGGAGATCGAAGGTGATCACACCTCATGGGGACCTGCAACTCCTTTTACAGGATTTACTTTGCAGAATAAACCTTGAGGTCACCTGCCGTCACATCTTCCTGCTCACCCTCCTGTGCTTGTAAAATCAGGCCTGATTCACAAAGGGCTTGGAGCCCTAAGCTCTGTAGGAAGAAACACCTCTATCTGTGAACCCACTGTGACAACTCATCTTTCTCTAGCACCTTTAGGAAAAGCTATTCCATCCCAGCACTTTAGGATGGTGAGGATAAGAGGTTATACATTCTGATTCCTTCATTCTACGGACAGGAAACTAAGGCCCAGAGAGGATGGAGGCGCCAGAGCAGGAAAAGGAACTCTGGGGTGGGAGGAGGCTGAGATCTGGGTATTCTATAGAATGACTATGTACTTGCTCTGTGACCCTGGGCAAGTAAGCTGCCCATCCAGGTGAGCTCCCATGGGCCCTCCCTGCCCGTTGGTGGTCAAGGGCCAGTCACTAGTGTGACTGAATGCTCAGCCTTGGGCCATCTGCCATGCTCATTCTGGCCTGGCCTGGGAGAAGTTGAACTATTGGCCTCAGTTCACACAGAGTGGCTGGAGGCAGGGCTGGCACTAGGACCCAGGGGGTAGATGGCAGCCTCCCAGGCTGGAAGGGACAGCTGGAGTACTGGTGGAGGTAACCCCCCTCCGCCTTGGCTTTGGAGCTCTGGCCAGCTCTGCCTGGGGAGGAACAGGGGATGCTCTTGAGAGCCTAGTCTAGTCCATGGGAGGTGTGCGGGCAGGTGATTGGGTGCTCAGGACGGGTGGTGGTGGACAATGGCCGGAGTCCTGGGCTGGAGGGGGCCTTGGTTAAAGCTCTCACTTTGGAGTAAGACTCAGAGATGTTACCCAAGTCTGGTCAGTCTGGGAACCTAGAGGTTAGTGGGTTCGATCAACTTCCGCCTGGGTTTGCGAACCTCACTGGAACTGGGTTAGAAGTGTGTAGGCTTGGTGTGCCTGTCCTTGGTGGGGGATGTAAGCTTCGGCATCTCGAGTTGCTTTTGACTGTGGCGGGGGTGTGCGCCCATGTTTGGGTCTCTGGAGTGTCGTGTGGGGGTGTCTCTGGGATGTCTGGGGACAGCGTGCCTGTGTGTAAGTAGGTTGTTGCAGGGGTGTATAACTGTGCGTATGGGAGGGGGATGGAGAATGGGCTCCCAATTAACTTCCAGAATCGCTCTTCAAGCACCTCAGGACCTCTCCTCCCAGAGTCCATCCTGACTTGGCCCCTTCCTGCCCCGTGCCCAACCCCGGGTTGTGGACTAGTTCCCTCCAGGCCACGTCCCCTCCCGGGGCGGGCGGGGGCGGGCGCTAGGACCCTGCGGGGCGGGGCGGGGCGGGGCTCCGAGCTCTGTCAGCTGTACCTCCGCAGCCTGGAAAATACCAAGCCCCGGGGAGCGGAGCCCGGGAGCCCCCGAGCCAAGCCCGGAGGGAGGGAGGAAGGGAGGGGGCGCGCGGGGCGGCGGGGGGCACGGGGCGGGGCGGGGCCGGGCGGCGGGACCCACTGCTCCTCCCCCGGAGCCCCCGCGCGGCCCCGGTCGCCCGGGCAGCGGCGGCAGCTGCGGCGGCGGAGGCGCTCGCACCCCCGGCCCCGGCGAGCCCCGGCGGAGCAGCGGGCACAGGTGAGCGTCCGGCTGGGCGGGCGCCCTACCCCGCCCCCACCACCCGCCCGGCGCTCAGCCCGCGCCGGCGCCGCTGCCGAGTTAGTTGAGTGGGTCCGGCCGGCGCTGCGCGGAGCCCCCGCCGGACCGTCTGTCACCTCGGGTCCTGGCCTCCCCTGGGTCCCCGAAGAGGTCTCGCGGAACCCCCATCACCCGATACGCAGCCCCCACTCCGGCCCCAGGGAGGTCCGGGGTCGCTTCTGGGGGTGGCCCCGTGACTGCCCCGTGCTGGTCCGCGCTCACTAGGGGGCCAGTCCCTGCCGGTCTGGAACTCTCCATCCGCCCAGGACCCCGGACAGCCCCACCCGCGCCCCCAGCGCACTGACTCCCGACCTCAAACCGGTCCTGCAGGTCCCGGGAAGGTGGCGTCAGCATCTGCAGCCGCGTCGACGTTGTCGGAGCCTCCGCGGAGGACCCAGGAGAGCTGGACTAGGACCAGGGCCCTGGGCCTCCCCATGGAGAAGTCCGCTGCCTCAACAGAGCCCCAAGGGCCTCGGCCAGTCCTGGGCCGCGATAGCGTCCAGGTGCCCGACGACCAGGACTTCCGCAGCTTCCGGTTGGAGTGTGAGGCCGAGGAGGGCTGGAATCTGACCTACAGCAAGGCCGGCGTGTCTGTGTGGGTGCAGGCTGTGGAGATGGATCGGACCCTGCACAAGATCAAGGTAGGCTTGCCCTGCCCCACGTGCAGCCTCCAGGGCGCCCAGCCGCCTCAGACAGGGAGTCTTCTGCTCCCCCGCAGGGCCACAGACACCTGGTTGTGCACCTGGCCTCAGAAGGAGTCTCCCGCCAGGAGGAGGCACAGTTTGCTGGGCAAGGGCTCATTACACAGAGGCCAACTGAGGCCGGAAGAGGGGGTGTGACTCATTCTGGCTTCACTCAGCCAGAGCCCAGTCTTCTTCATGCATTTGCCTGCTCCTGGGGAGTTGGGCTGCTGCCAGGCCCGTCTAGGGGAGTGGTCTCCCTCTGGGACCATTCTGCCCTGGCAAGACTTCACTGGTTCCCCAACTTGAGTTATCCCAGGTGGGGAGACTGAGCCTTTCTCTCCCTAATTCCTGGTTCTGTCTCCACTCTCTGCAGCTCTGGGTGCCAGGGACCCGATTTCCTTCCCGCCTGATGCCCTGCTCTTCCCTCTTCTTTCCCCTGCTTACCCAGATTCTCCTGCAGGGACTCCGGATCCTAGTTGGCAGATCCTGAGGTCAGGGCTTGGATGTCCGTGCTTTACACAGGGCCAGGAGGAGGGAGCCAAGGGAGGCCAGCAGGTGCAAGTCAGATGCTGGTACATCAGCTCCCTCAGAGCCTACAACCCCACTCCACACAGCCCTGTGACTTTCCTCCATGCAGGACAGGCTTGAGGTTTGGGACCCCATGAGCCCACCTCCCCTGCGGGATGAGACGGGGCAGAGGCTGGTGAAGACTGTAGTCTAGAGGCCTCAGCGGCTGCCTCCAACCTATCAGGCATTACTGTTATGCCGCATTTCGAGGGGGGCAGGTCTCCCTTCAATGGGCTCTTGCAATAGGTTGTGCCCTTCGCCTCCCTTGCCTTTCCCTTGCTCTCCGCTTTCTGCTGCCCTCCTCCTCAGTGCGGAGAAGTGCATTTCTCTTGGGGCGGAGGGGAAGGGCAGGGGACTCAGAGGGCACTTCTGCCCAGGATCTACTCTCAGACTTAGCTGCGGCATCTTGACTTCATTCCACGGTTGGAGATATCTGACCTTCCCTCTCTGACCCCATGCCTTTCTGCCTCACTGTATCTTCGTCATTTACAGCTCTGTTCATCTATCCCATGTGGCCTTCTAGCTCATCCCTTCTGCCTCCCCCCCCCCCCCCACCCCCCCCCCCCCCCGCCACCGTGACTCTCCGTTTGGATCCCAGCTATCTGACTATCTCTTTCTCTCTGGGTGTCTGTGTGTGTGTGTCTCTCCATCTGGGACTCTGCCCAGGCCTGAGGGCCCTTGGGCTAGGGGGTTCCTGGAGACCTGATCTGTGTCTGATGCTGAGGAGCAGGGGAGCAAAGGGCAGCTGATGTGTCCCAGCTTGGTGCTCTCTGAGGACAGGGACAGATCCTATCTCTCTTTGTGTCCCTAGATAGAGCAGGGATGTTGGTTGAAAGAAGGATGGAAAGAAGGAAGGAACAAACTGAATGAAAGGTGAGCAAGGTTGTTTTGAGAACAAGGTTCTTTTCCAGACTGACCTGGGGAAGACTTAAGGCTCCCCAGAAGCAGAAGGTCTGAACTAAGTCCAGTATACTCCCACCCTCTGTGTCAATAGGGCTGAGTTGCCTCCTCCATCTGGTTTGGTTAATGAATAAACCCAGCCCAGTACTGGACTGGAGCTGGTGGGTCTTAGGGCCAGACTCCCACAAGAGACCCCTTGTGGTCAGATCAGTCTTGTCAGGTGGCCTTCTTTGGGAGAGAAGGGGACTTGGAAAAACTGGGTGTTGTGGTACCCAGGCAGGGCATGGATCTTCCTTCCCTCTCAGACTGAGAGGAGTTTGGAGGGGGCCAGAAGGCCCTTTGCCATCCCTGTTTCATACTCCCTCTTCACTGGGGCGCAAGTGAGAACACTGAGGCCTGTGAAGAGGACAGGGACCAGCCCAGGGTCACACAGCCAGGTCTTAGAAGAGCCAGGCTTGGAACCCAGATTTCCATCCTCCTAGCCTAGCTCTCTCTGTTCTGCTCCCCACAGTGGAGATAGAGTTGGGGACAGGAGGTGAGCAGAGCTGGGGCCTAGGATGGAGGCTGGGGCCTTGGCTATGGGTATCTCATGCGGCCAGTCCCCACTCCTTATCCCCTCAGCATAGCCCAGTGGAGCTCTGGTAGATGGGCAGAGGTCTCTGAGCTCCCCATCCTCAGGATTTCAGGAGTCCCAGTTTCCATGCAGTGAATCCCATTTCTGACAGGAGCCCATGCCCTGAGCCAAGCAGGGACTGTCTCTCCCCACCTTTGAATTTACCCTCTGGCCAGTCCTGGGCAGGCTTGTCTCCATCCTACAAAGAAACTGAGGCCAAGAGTCACTTGCTTTACGTCCCAGAGCAGCTGAGGTAAAAGTAGGACCCAGGCCACCCTGGCTCCAGAGCACCTGGCCCTGTCCGATTGGCTCACTCTGTTAGTCAACATTACAGCATTTGACCCCATCAATAACTCTTTGAAGTACTGCGGTGTTTTCATAATCCCATTCCTGTTTGATAAATGAGAAAGCTGGAGGCCCCGAAAGGGGAGGTGGCCTGCCAAGGTCACACAGCATGTCTGAAGCCAGAGACCCAGGGCTGATGGGGTCACTCCGGGGGACTGGGACTCACCCACAGCTGTTTGTTGAGCTTCGGCCCCTTACGCCATTCTGCCCCAGCCTGTCGGGAGCCTTCCCCCTGAGCTGGGAAAGCCAGCCTGCACCCTGGACATGCCTTGTTCTTGTGATCCCAGGGTGGGGCGCGGGGTCCTGCCTATCTGTCTACCTGATTGATCTCTCATGTCTCTTCCCCTAGACTTATCTTCTCCCTGTTCCTGTATCCAGAGGTCCCTGAGAGCCACTGTGGCTCTGGGACCAGCATTCAGAGCCAAGACAAAGGGAAGGGGCTGTTGGAGGCCACCTCCACCTTTGCCCTCCCTCCTGGCCTCCAGCCTGGCCTGGCCTGGGGGTTGTACTATGCCTTGGGCCCTGGCCAGGAGGCAGACACCACCTCCTGAGAGGGCAGGCCTTGTCCCACCGGCAGATGCTGAACACGAATCCTGGGTCTAAGGCGGAAGGCAGACTGGAACCCAGACCTAGGTCTCTTGATGCCCAGGCCGGTGTCTGAGTGTATGAGGAATGCAAAACTCAGGGGTCTGCCGGTCATTTAAGCAGGGCCAGCTCGGGTCCAGTCCTGGTGGTGGTGTCCTCAGTGTATGACCATAGGTGGGTCCCTGCCCTTCTCTGGGCTGTTTCTCCTTCTGTGCCAGCTCTAAGAACACCTGTGCTGGGGCCAGTGGGGGAGAAAGGAGGAGTGAGGGGACAGAGAGCAGGCGGTGATGTGGCCTGCCAAGTCATGCCCTTGCTGCTCCTGTGCTCAGGCTCTCTGCTGCTGCAGCCGGCCTAGCCTTGTGCTTGGCCAGCCATGTGAGATGTGGAGGAGACCTGGCCCTGTCCTCAGAAGTTTCCAGAACCCGGTGAAGAGAGGAATGACAATGGCAAGTGACCCCTGCCTACTGCATGGGGCAGATGTCCACAGGCGGACCACAGAGGCAGGAGTGGGCCCAGTAATCGGGGGGCCTTGAGGGGCTTGCTGGCTGCAGCAGGGGTGGGACGTCTCCTGGGAAAGTGTGCCTGAGAACCTGAGGTTCCTCTTGCTACAGGAAGCTGGGCAGTGGGGACCTGTCTTCTCTGACTTCCTTTCCTACGGCTCCTCCCCTTCTGCTCTGGAGAGAGCTTCACAGCCCCTCCCTTCTTGACCTCTCTGTCCCCTGGCTCCCATATCACAAGGCACCCCCACTCCTACTCCAGGTTTTAAGCTTTCAAGTCTGTTCCCTCTTAAGTGCCTCAGTAGCTCCCCTGTGAAATGTGGGATTATTTGACGGATCCCCAAGGGCCCTTCTCACTCTTTATTTTTATTTTTATTTATTATTTATTTATTTTTGGCCCTTCTCACTCTTAACAGTTTTACCACTCTTAACAGACTCCCCAGGGTCATGGGGAATGTGGGGGCAGGGACAGATGTTTTCCCTATGGCTTCCCACTGAGTCTTCACAGCTGTCTTGTGGTGTGGGTCTTATTAACACCATTGAACGGATGTGGAAACTGAGGCTCAGAGCAGGAATTCACTTGTGCGAGGAATTCACAGCTAGAGTTGGCTGAGGCAGGATCAAAATGCAGGCCCTTGGATCTCCAAAGCTGAGATCTCTCTGTTCCCTTGGGCTTGCTTATAAATACCATTGGGCCCTTTTGTGTTTAGACCCACTGCCTGGGTCTCCTTGTGCAGTGTTGTTTTGGGAGGACACCCTGGAGGGGACCCAGCTGACCAAGAGCCCAGTCCTCAGTGGGACCTTGGAGGTCACTTCACTTTTCCAAGTCAGTGTTCTCTGTGGAGGCAAGAGTGTGAGCTAATCTGGTTTTAGGGCCTTGGATTCAGTGAGTTCAGATTCAGGCTGGAACTCTGCCCATCTGGGGCTCAGTTTCCCCATCTCTACAGGAAGCTGCTGGGCAGGTGGTTTGTAGAGGTTGTTTGGGCCTTAGACCATGCTAGAGGGGTCTGTACCACTGGGCACAGAGTAAGGAAGGTGAGCTAAGGCCTTGCCACTCTGTGCCATCAGAGAGCTCTCTAGATGGGGTGCCTGGATCCAGGGTTCGGTCCTGAAGACTGTCCTGGCTGGCTCTAGCTCTGACTTGGTGTGGGGGCAACTGGGGGCAGTGGCTCAGAGCTGAGGCCTGTTTACTTCACCAAACAGGCTCCCAGAGAGCATGCCTCCAGATAGTCAGGGTCAGGACCTTCCGGTGAGGGAGCTCAGGGAAGGGAAAGGTCAGAGGGGGCTGGAAACTTGAGGGAGGTCTTTCTGGAAGAGGTCCCTGGGCAAGGCTGAGGCTATAGGGGAGAGAGCACATGGTCTGGAGGCCCAGCCACACGGCCTTGAGCATGCTGCTGCCGCCACCTCGGCTTTAACTTCCTCATTCCACAGACGTGGATAGTGGGGCCTCT